ACATACACTTTGTAGTTGACTTTTCCACCTGTAACCGAAACATTTACAGAAGGAGTTGGACAAGGATAACTAGATCACTTGAACTGTTTTTTTAACGTGTAAAAGCTTTTCTGGACGTGGTATTGTTCATGGAATTGACTACATCTGCATAGAAATAAAAACCATTAACACTACTAGTAACAAAATATGAGACAGAAATTTCTCAAACAATACCAGTTGGTGTGAATTCTTTCACATGGGTTTTCCTGGTGGTCAGTGCCCATGGAAGGTGTTTTTGGAATTTTTTCACACGGGTGGTAAATACCTGTTCAGCTTCAACATTCACAAAGTAGGTGCAAGATGCCTTGCTGGGTATGTTCACATATGTTATCTCATTAGTTCCCAACATATCCCTGGGAGCTTGATAACATCCTTACAGCTCACAGGCAAATCTTGAATAAGACATAGCTGAATCCAATTTACCTGGATTAGTGCTACTGACTACTTTTAGTTTCTTCCCTCCAGGCCCCTTCCTGTACCTTCTCCATTTTTTTTTCTCTTTCTCCCTCTTCTTCTTTCTCCCTAACTATTCATTATTTAAGCCTCTCTCTTTTTTTTCTTTTTTCTTATATTCTAAGTAGAGACTGTAAAAAAATCAGAAAGGGAAGAGAAACAGTACAATGACAATCTATAATTTTTAAATTTGCCTATATTTTTGATAAACAGACTAAAATACTTTGAAACTGTGCAAGATTTGTTGCTAAAAATTTGGGGTTAAATGGACAGAACACGTGCAAATTGCTTCAGGTCTGATTTGCACAACCTGACATACAGGTTCGGGTGGTCTGTGGAATGTTTATCTGCTTTCACAGTCCTGCATTAACCTGGAACTGAAGGTGAGTTTGGGGCAGTTTCCACTTAGTAGGTAATAGGCAGGGCCTTCTCCCTTGTCTGTCCCTAAGGGCTGGGTAAGATATGATGATCCTTGAGAACACTATCATCTTCATGACTAATAGTATTGACATTTATTAGTCAATTTATTAGACTGTAAAGATACAGTGGGAATAAATTCTGTGTCTGGAGCATAGTTCTGGGCGCCATAAGAGCAAAAGGCAAATAAGAGAAGGTCACTGGAAACTTCACCATTTAGTATGAGAAAAAGATTTGAACAGTTGCTTCCCACCCAACGTAACTATTTACAAAATGGTATTATCTCGTGTGCAAAAGGCTTATAAGGAATTATTCAAGGGGTGCCTGGGTGGCTCACTTAAGCGTCCAACTCTTTAATTTCAGCTCAAGTCATGATCTCATGATTC